GCAGGAAACAATACAGCCTTTCTTCATTTCACTGCAGCTTATACTTTTTCAGATGTTCCTTGCACTGCTGCATCTCCTGAAGACTAGATTTCTGCATGGGGGTGCTATTTCTTAAACCCACTTGTAACTGCTTTTGATGAAGCACCAGTGTGATAAGTCAATGTTGCTTGACCTATCTCATAGGGGGACTGTGGATGGCATTGTTAAGTGTTACTCTTATTTTTCAACTGGAAACAAGTTATATAATACAAGTTCTATATCTCTCTGAAAAGGGCTTTAACTTGGACAAGACCACAATGTTATAGAGGTGTAGAATCACATCATTATTGTATATCATGAATGTTATATTTGTTTTCACAAACCCAGAACTGACTTTTAATTGTAAATGTTTTGCAAATCAAATGTTACTTCAGTGTTGTACTGCATGCATAGAATTATTCCATGAATCATCTTAATCTGTGTACACTTTCACATTTGTAACTGAATTCTTAAAATTAAAAAGCAATTCCTGGCTTTTTAATTTAGTAGATGAGGTTAAGTCCCAGGTATTCTTCGGCGGAACTGGCATATCATTTTATTATTGTATCTGTCTGTATTGTAAGTTGCTCAGAAACCTTTGAGGGGAGCATCATAAAAATCAAATAAATAAATAAAATCTGTTCATTCCTTGGAGCACTGAGAAACATAATCTAGATTGGCTGCATACTAATCAATGGAAAGGGAACACTGTTTGATATTCAAAGCTAGAAGTGGAGTTGACAGAAGTCAAAGATCTGTTCCTTAAATGTGTCTATGTCTATTATAAACTGCTTAAGAATATATATTTGAGAAGTCCCCCAAAATTTTCCAAGACGAAAAAAAAATATATATGGAAATACTAAAAGCCTTCCTATAGTAATACAGGCCTCGTCACACAAAAGCATGTTCATCCTTGAGATGACGAAAAAGTGAGAAGTGGTTTGTAAATATTGACATGAATTCTGAGTTATTTTTTAGGTTGGTCTAAATCCTGCCACATTTTGTTTGCCTTCTGTCCATACTGATATCAGAAAATGACTATTTTCTATTTACAGAACTGTGCGCCTGCCTATATCCGTGATTCTCAGCCAGGGTGCTTTGGTACCCTGGAGTGCCTTAAGATCCTTTCATATGCTCATACACAAAACATTCACTATGAAATGCTCTTCTCCTCAATCATAGTATTCTAATACCAAGGCTTTAAAACTACTCAGAGAAGTATAAATAGACAAATATTTCTATACCTACAAAAATGTCTTCCTAATAAGTATTTCACTGTGCTTGGCTGATAACACACACACATACACACACAGTTGCTTTTTCTTCCTGTGAAAGAAGTCAACTATCACAATCCCTATACATTTTTAAAATGAGCCTAGAGCACTATCACTGTATAAAAGACAGAAGAATTGTATTTTCCACATGAGTATATGACATTGGCAGATGATGTTACACACTTTGTTCATTCAGGCTTTTTCTTATAGATTCTGAGGCTTAAAGGCAAGACTGGCAGAATTTTATTATGTGAAATCTATAATTGAAATAAGTAATCCCCAAACCAAGATACCGTCTTGGGATAAAAATAATTAACAACTAAATATAAAATGGGCTATTGGATACCAGGTAAAGGAGGAAAGTACAAATGCAGACAAGTAATATGTATACATTTGCTCTACTCTCCTTGGTGCTGTTACTACAAATGAAACAGCTCACTCATTAGTAAGAACAAAAGCAATTTGTTAATTTGCGAGAGAGAAAAAAAGACACCCAAGTAAGGTTAGCTAACTGAAAAACCTAATGTGCATTCCTTTCTTGACACAGGTTGATGCTCATGGAAATATTCTTCTTACTTCACTTGAAATAAGAAATGAGGACAGTAACTCAGAAATGTTCACAAGTATCAGTGATCCAAGAGCCACCATGTATTCATATGACAGTGCCAGCATCCAGTACAGAAGACCCACCTCCAGCAGAGAACTCTACAGCAGAAGCACTTTGGATAGGCACATGGTTCATAAAAAGGGGCATTTGAAGAGAAGGGCATCACAGCTCAAAGTCAAAATCCCAGATTTGACTGACGTTAACGCCATAGACAAATGGTCAAGGATGGTCTTTCCCATCACATTCATTCTTTTCAATGTTGTTTATTGGCTTTATTATGTCCACTAATTTATACAATGATCAACTCATACCTAGACTTGTTTTCTTTACTTCTTAAATTTTGTTTATCCTGAAGGACTGCAGAAGTTCTAATGCTACATTTTCAAGGTAAGATACTCAGCTATTGAATGGTTATAGGATTTTTTTAACGTCAAACAATTTAACCATGTGCACTTCAAAAGAGTACCATGTCTATTCAAGCATACTATTATTCTTGAGATCTGCTCTTAAAGAGCAACTTCAACTTAAAAATAGGCACTACTCTGGTATTTATATAAAAAATTCTTGCATCTTCAGTAACCTTTACCTAACATCTTTGATCTGTTTTTTTAATTAAAATTAAAACCAATCTTCTTTTGTTCCCCACTACAGTCTAGTAGGTAACGCCTTCTTAACAAGGCTGCCTGTCAAACAGAGCAGCTGGTACATTACAGATTTCCAGCACTGACAGAAGTCAAAGAACAGCAGGAAAGGAGTCCTTTAAGGAGTATATTTTTTCAAGAGTGAGTACTTATGCTAAGAGTGGCTTATACCAGTGTTTTGAGGAAGTCTCACTAAAGGATATTCTTATTGGATTTCGGATTTTCAACCCTATTCTACTTACCAACTAGTTGATTTGCTCTAACTGTTATTTCCTTGAAGAACTGAAGATGATAATTAGCTTTTTCAAAAGGGCAAAACATACAGGGTAAGAACTGTTGCATAACTTTGGATGTGATTCTTATAAATGGCCATTACCCTAGAAGGAAATATGGAATTATATGCCAGTTAACAATATGCAGATTAAAGTTAATGATTAACAAAGATTATATTTAATGGGAACCAGTTAAAACCTGTCACAACTGGATTAGTATTCTCATCTGTTGACTTTATTAATAGTTGGGCAACTTTCTGTCATTTTTCAGATGATCAACAATAAGAAATCTAAAATAACTGTTTTTTTTACATTCATAATGTCAAAATCTCTACAAGATTTGATCCTTCTCATAGGCGAGATAAACCTAAAACCTCTTTCCTCTACCCCAGCAGTATAAAAGAGTTGCAAAAGAGCCTCTAGGAAATTCTCCTAACATATGAAAGGAGCCTTCCAGTCCTAGACCGCAATGGTGGAAAAGCATTAGCTATAGCACTCTT